CTCAGTACGTGACTGTACTGCAACACTCGGTGGCTGGATCGCAGGAAAGAGAGAGGGAGGGAAGGAGGGAAACGATAGTCGGAACGGCAAACAACGTTAGAATGTTGAACAACGCCCTTTGTATAATGTGTGCGAGGAACATACTAATAAGTGAAAATTTGTGCCACAGTTGCCACAGTGTGTATTGTAGCTGTGTGGAGAAATGGCCCTCACGTCATGGTGGAGTGTGAAGTAATGAGGGTGGGCTCATAATAGAACAACAGATTCCACGGAACTTCGCCTCGCTCCTCGGGATCCACAGTCTGCAAGACCACGCCCACCGACACACCCCTTCCCGGCTCCAGACGACCGGAGGGCAGCGGGAGCTCGATGCAGGGTGGAGTTTGGCGGGGAGGTGAGAAGAGGGAGGAGGGGGAGGGGAGGGAAGATGGGTAGACCGCCCCCGGACTGGATACCTTCTCTCTCTGCAGCAGACAAACCAGATTAACAGCTACGTAATGATTATTATGAGCGGATAGATTGAATAAAGCAAATATGAGAGCCTCTGAAACACCTGAGCTATTGCTCTAACCGCTAATGCAACTACCCTGTGTTACAGTGAGACTCGTGTTACTGGCTCTGTCGATGACGCACGGCCCAGCATACAGCAATGCTACAACTCGCGCGTTTAGCACCGAGGGTTTGCACTTTAGTGCTTTTCATTATAACTGGAAGCATGAGGGGCTCCAGGACACTATGTAAATGTATCGTGTACAGACTACATGGACAAGCTATGTACCCTACTCTACTCAATCGGAGTGAAGTTTCTTTGAAGACGTGCACTCCATTTCACACGTGTGCAGGAAAACACACTGAAGGCATTCAGAACATGAACTACACACGATTTCAAACACAAAATCTGGTTCAATGTACATTACATATCCAAGGGTGACTCACATTGTCCAGGAGAAGTCGGCGGCCCAGAGAGGAGGTGAGTCTGAGGCTATTGAGTGGCACGCCTCCACAGTTCACCACCTCCACCTTCACTCTCGTCACCCCCCCACCGAGACACTCCCCAGGCACACCACTCACACACACCTGCACACGTCAAAACCACAGCCACAGGGAACAATATACCTTTTTGTGGTGAAACCATTTCTATAGGAGATTCCAGGAGGAAAAAATTTTGCCAGGGGGACCAAATATTTATGTAGGAACATCCAAGTAAAAAATTTTTTTCACCATATTGGAGGCAAAATCTTTTCACGTAGGAAACTGCAGTATACAAGAGGAAAATGTTACTAAAAACGTAAACCAAATTGTACTCTTGCACTGGGTCTATTGGTAACATATCTTGCTGCTACATTTACTTCAGCAGTCAACAGGTGTATGTCATCTAGTGGCCACTTAACTCACCAGGGCCCTGGGCATGGGTGTGGTGATCCTCCAGTGGAGCCTATGATCTGCACCATACACCACCCCAGTCTTATGCTCCTTGGTTCTGTTGAGTCTCGGGCCTTGCACACTGAACTCCACCCTTCCCTGTGGGACACCGAACACTAACCTTCCATACAAACCACAATTTATTTCTTTTTCTTCTTTTTTCCCTGCTAGTGCTAGATGAAGACGTACGTATACACTTGTGTACAAAGTGTCTTTGTTAGAAGATCTGTACGTACATGTATTATATACATAGTATAGATCCCAACAGTGCAACTTAGTACATCTCACGCAACATGTCACACGAGATAAAGTTGCGCCGTGTATGTTGAGAAAGTCTTGCTGCACGAGACAGGTTGCATGGTAATAGACAAAACATACAGTATACAAAGATAAAAGATGCGTGCAAAGTTGCGCCGTGCACATATGTTGGGCTTTAGGCAAAAATGGAAGTTAGTCCACACGGATGATAGGTAACAGACCTGGACTCCTTCGGCTAAACTCTGCTGGACTCGGAGGTTCTGTTGTCTCTGGAACAGGCCGTCCAGACCGGAGACGCTCAGACTCGGCAGACTGGTTCGACCGGGCAGGCTGGGCGACTCGGAGCCCCTCCCCCCCAGTGAGGAGGAGGAGGAGGGGAGGGGCTGGTCCACGCAGAGGTGGCAGATTATTCCGAGAACGTCGATTTCTCCCGCACACAATGGAGTCAGTCTCAACACCACCTGGAGGAGATAGAGAGCAATACGTCATGTGGTGGTCAGCTAGCCATGTTCAAGACTCCCTCTGAACAAGTGAGGGGGAGGCTGGGTCTAGAGCAATTGTGTAAACTCTCGTACAGTTTGTTAAGTGCCTCAGCTGGGTTGGTATATGTATGTACCACAGAATATATGGTACAATGCCGTGTGACTATCATCATGCCACCAACATTGTGGGGTCCACCGTGAGCAATTCTTACAACTTGCAAGCTTTTTGGAGACTCACCATCTTGTGGGCCAGTGGCTGCAGCACTACCTTCTCTAGCACCTCAACCCTCACCCTCTCTCCTCCCCCCACCTCCCCTCCCCTCCGCCAGAGACGGCAGAGAGGGGTGTGTGGCTCCAGGTAAGGGCCACGTTTCTCAACACAAGGGGAACCTTCAGCGGGTTCCTCAGCACCACTCCAACACTCACACTCTCTGGTGAGAAAAGACAATAGTTTACTTGAGAATAAAGGAGCTACTTAGCACACGCCTGCTCTGGTGCACAGGAACCAGCACACAGCCATAAACAAGTACAGCAATACTGAGAATTGGGCCATCGCTTAATGAGACTATCAACTGCGTGAAAGAACCAGAGACCAAAGAGGCAGGACTGACGGCATTGTGTACGTACTCTATGTATTCTAAGTAGGCACAAAGAATGCAAGCGGTGGATCCCAAAGCAAAAGCAAAGCGTTCAGGAGCTGTAGTGCTGCATAATGAGAGCTGAGGGTTCCTAGGTTCTTGGCACAGCGAAACTTTTTCCAGCTATATACAACTTACCGTTCACCACGCAGTGAGGCACGCGGGAATTGTCGGTGCTCTCGTCCATAATGACCACCGAAGGTTTGAAATTCTCGTGCGGGGTCCCCTGTGGCCCCCTGGCCGCTACCTCCTCCAGACCCCTCCATTCCTCCGTGCTCCCCTTCACCGTCTGGGGGTTAAAATCCCTTGCCCCTATCATTATTGGCTTGAGATTGCGACAACTGGTGATGGTGTTTGACTCTGTGAGTTGTTGAAGAATTTGCCTCATCCTGGCTCCGCCTATCGGTCTCGCCACCTCCCTCCCCCTCCCCTCCTCCTCCTCCTCCTCCTCCTCATCTTTCTCTTCTTCCTCCACGACACTGTTTTCAGTCAGCTTGCGAAGCCGCTCCGAGCTGATGCCAGTCTGGAATATGACTCTCGTCAACGAGTTTTTGACGAAGGGGATGGGGAGGAGGGGGACGCTCTGGACCCTGTCCGCAGAGGTCAAAGAGGTCGACTCGGGGCCCAAGTTAACCTGCTGTCCGGCGCAGTAGTCCGTGTCACTCAACAGCAACTGAAAGAAACAGTAAGAGAGTACGTTGTACGCACACGTCACATTCACTTTATGGGACCAACAGTTCAAACCGGCAATGTAGATGAAGTTGCATCACCATTATGTACAGTGCTATGTTTTTTTCTTTTTTTCCCCTCCAGCGTGGGGAAGACTGGAAGGAAGGAAGTTATGTTTGGAAAAGTCTGCACAAAGAGCCCTTGAGCTTCATATGCATATGTATAGCGTCAGTTCACACAATATCTGCATTGTCATATTGCTTCATGTCACAAAACCAAAGAAGTTTATCCACGCGACATGTCATGCATGCTGCGTTGGATCCCTATAATCTTTGCGACACAATTCACATATTGTGATATATGTACATACCTTGTGTACGTATATGTACTCTCTGAGGTTGAGTAGCTGGTTGCTGGGAGACTGGATGCTGTCGTGACCAAGGAGATGTTCGAAGGCGAGGCGAGCATCTCGCAGTCTATGGAGAGCGAAGCAATGTCTGGCCAGACTGAAATGGGCATAGTCCTGAGGGGAAGGGGGGGAGTGAGGCAAGTTGAGGCGACAGAGAGGAGGCGAAAGGAGAGAATAATTGGAGTGAAGCGCGCCCACTCAGTCGTCTGAATGCGGGAATTTTTCTATGTTGCACCCCCGCACTTCACTCACCATAATGTTCTACGTGATTCTAAATACGCGTGAAAAATTGAACTACTGGCTTAATGTAGCTCGCTAAAAATGGGTTGCATTCCTCTAGTACATACATACATACGTACATACATACGTACATACATACATACATACATACATACATACGTGCGTGCATACATACATACATACATACTACATATACATACATACATATGTGCATACCTCGGCAAGGGCCCATCCTTTGCCTCTGTACAGTTCCAAAGCCTGCGTGTAGACGCGGGCACGTGTCACCCGCTACACCGAACAACAACAACAGATGAAAAGATGCACCATTCGAGCAACAAAAATACACACGAGTTTTAGTACCCAAACTGCACCGATTGTGCAAAAAGAGTGTACGTACGTACAAGAAGCAAACTGAAAGAGAGTTCTGAAGGGTTAGGGTTCTTCTGACCTGGCTCGACTTGGCGAAACGGTGGCCGGCCAGAATGAGGTGGAGGGCATACTTGCGGGCCATGGGAGGATGGACGCGGAGAAATGAGTGGGCAGCCTGCTCCAGACACACGGCACTGTGGAGGTCTGACTCCTATAATAATGAGAAAGAGGAAGGGGGAGGGGGGGGGGAATTGTTTACACACGCAAGTGGCACACCTTCACCGAAATTTGAATTTGAGTGGACTCTGTGCGAGAAAAGCAAGCTATAGTCATAGGAATACGAGGCAACGAGGCGCAAACTGAAAAAAAAACCATGCTAACAATGCCAGAAGCAAGTTAGCAACAAGAGCAGAGAGAAAGAGGAGAAAACTAGGCATATATATAGGTTAGACGCAGAGCCGAGGTAACTATGTACGTGTGGTAGAGTGCCGAGAGCTCCTGAGCCGTCGGTGCCCCGATCGCAGCGGGATCTACGTACGTACGTCCCTATACTCTTAGACTGAGAACGCAGATACAGGGTAAAAAGGAGGGCTCACTTCCGATGTCATCTTGATGCAGATTTGAGTGAGTGGTCTGTACAAGCCCCTCTCCTTGAGGACCTCACACTGGAGCATGGAGCACCTCAGGGCACTCACCGGAGATCTGTCAGCAAGACACACCACATTGTACACACAGCTGGGCCATCAGCCACCAGAGTCTTTTTTGGGGAAGGTGGAGGGGGTGTGGATGCTTTTTGAATATGTGGACAGTGTACACGTCTAAAGACCAGGTTAGCATAAAAATAGCAAGAAGAAGAAATGATAAGACATGAAGGATCCAAGAAAAATTAACGTTCTTTTGAGAAAAGTCAGCACTCTTTTAGCTAAACTTTGGTGTCCATGAATACCTGCCCCACCCACCCTCCCATGGCGTGCACAGAATGATGCACGAAGGCTTTGATATCTCACTTGCACGAGGTGGCAAACATGCTTATTGCTTCTTCAAAGAACGGGACGATGTCTCGCCTGGTGGAGGACAGCATGTAGGCGGTCACTGCACACATCTCCTGTCGAGTGAGGTACGGAGAGAGAGAGGTGAATGTATACACAACTGAGGATGGTCAACAAATGAACAGTCCAACAGCTAACACTAACATTTCAGCTCAACTGGAAGGTTTGTGTCCCCAGAGCACCAAATCAAACGTTAGCGTTTTTTTGGTTTTGAAACTACATACATGAATAGTTTTACTGAGTGAAAAAGTTGATAATAAGCGCTCTAAAGGCAAACTGTAAGACAGACAAAAGAAGCGCAAAGGGCCACACAAAGTCCTTGGAAGATGTCTGCTCTTGGCGTATATAAACTCAGTCTTAGTAACTATACACTCTCGTGTGTACAAACGTAAAGTGTTGCTGCAACTCACTCACCACTGTTTTGGCGTAGTGCATCCAGGCGGAGGAGCTCTGGAAGTCCTTCCTGACAGTGCAGTAGTTGGCAAACGCCAGGTCGTAGCTCTGCAGCAGGAACAGCAGGTCCGCAAATTGCCGCGTCTGGAACTCCTGAGAGCTGGACGTGTAGCTGAGACAGAGGGAGAGGGAGGCAAAGCTCACCCACTAGCAAGTGTATAGACACGCATCAAATCAGTGAATACACACCAACACAAGTTACAGGGGCAGTGCATGTGTACCTTGGTTCATCAATAGCAGCATTGTTGAGCTGTCCCCCCAACATCCCGAAGAACCTCTTACTCATGGTGCTGATACTCCGACGTACTGAGCGTCTGCTGATCAACTGCAGTGGTGTATGGTGTATGGTGTATGAATGTACAGTACATGTTGCATCACATGGCTATTTTCTACATATTATGTATAAATGTATGTATGCATGTACACAATAGAGTGCTCTCAGTAGTGTATGTATGTACACAATAGAGGCAGTAGAAGAGTGTGTATTGAGGGACTCACCCATTCATTAAGGTTCTTCAAAACTGCCTCCAGGTGAGGAACCAGTCGTTGCGCAACAAACTCTGTCACGAAATTTCTCATTCTCGTCTCGTCCTCTGCAGACAGAAACTGCCCCACATCATCCGGAGCCGTTCTTCCTCCCTCCCTCCTCTCTCCCCCTCTCTCCTCCCCTTCCCTCTCCTCTCCTTCACCCCTCTTGTCTTTGTTCTCATTCATCTCTGTGATGGAATCCTCAGAGCTACTCTGAACCAGTTTCGCTTCTTCTCTGACATTGGGTGTGATGGTGGCGGGAGCAATTGTCTCATTATTGGCAGGGGCGTCCTCGAGAAGGGGGTGTGTGTCAGTGGGGAGGACGGGGAGGGAGGAATTGGAGGAGATGGAGGGAGGGGGTGAGATGGAGGTCGTGGGGAGGAGGGGAGGGGTGGCGTGGGCAGTGGAAGTGGAGGAGGAGAGGGAGGAGGATGGGGAGGACGTCACGGGAGCAGGGGAGTGGTTGGGAGGCGTGGGATTCTTGGGCGAGATTTTCAGAGACTTTTTGTGTCTCCGCTGCTTGCCGGTGATGGAGAACCTTAGCTTTGAAGAGAGACCATCGGTCTCGTCCTGTGTGTATGTGTTCATAAAGTGTACAACAGTCGATGGTTTTTGGAGCGATGCATAGAGCATGAATTACGTTGTGCACAGACCAAGAAGAATAGAATAGAGCATCCTTTACTCTGTACTATACACACACACCACAGAAACTATGGTTTTCCAATCTCACTGTTTCAACTGCCCTTTTTTTTGTGAGAGTATAGGTGCATATATGTACACTACTACAGTTTTCTATAATGCCATGGTTGTCTGTCCAACTTTACCTCACATAGTTTGTGAGAACATTGACTCTAGTATGTACCTCTCCGTTGGAGTTGTGCGAGGTGTAGTGGCGGGCCACGCGGCTCCAAGGGTTGTCTCCCAGGACGACGGACCCCGGCCAGCGAGAGTTTATCTTCAACAGGCAGCAGCTGCCCGCTCCGTACGTGGCCTGGAGCTTGGACAGCTTGTCCTCAACCCTGTCGGCGGTGTGAAGTACATATAGGTGACAAACTGACTGATTAAACAGAACACGGCTGTAATTTCGCACTCTAGTTCACTTACCAATAGAATTTAGTATATACACACACTACATTATCACCTAAGGGTTCCCTAACATCTTTTCACCACGCCACAAACTCCCCTCCTGACCCCGACAACGTACGTACCCAGCAGTCTGTCTGTTGACAGTGTCGTGGAGGAGGATGTGGTAGTAGAACATGTGCGGTGTGAGCCAGTTTGAACTTCGCGTCTGCTCGGACTCCTTCTGGGTCGAGTACAGCTCTGCAAACGCCTCCATCACATCTGCCTCCTGACTTGACACCACCAGTAACACTGCCCACAATACAAGTATATATAGGAGCTATTACTAAAGTGTAGCAACAATTGCAGGTATGGAGATGCAGTAGTATATCATTTCGTGCACCAGATGTTTTTTTACTAGCTAGCACTTTGGCACTTGCTGTAGTTTAGCTTTCATTGTAAAAATGCAGCGCATTCTGCAGATAGGAGCAAGTGCATGTTTCTGATAGCTGCCATAGTGTCACTGCGATGGCCACAGCAAGTGACTTGTGGCCACAGAAACTCTGAAAATTGCACAAATGGTTCTAGCTGCACATGTACCTGATACATAGTGGCGTATTGGCTCTCTGTCTTCTGGTCTGAGTTTCCCAAGAAAGATGTTCCTATATCCATCATACCACGGAGTGGTGGCTAAAAAAACAAACCATCATCAATTTTTTCCACAATTAATGAAGATGCTACAGAAATGTTGGTTTCCTACACACAGCTTTCTATTTTTTACTTGGCCATGACCTCTACTTAGGCTAGTGGAAAATCAATGCAACAAATAAAAATACTGAGTTTTAATGGTGCTAAATATTTCGAGCGGGTAGTTGTGCAGGCGATTTTGGTGGCTTAGCTTTTGCTTTAGGGGAGCAAAATTTTGAGGCCTATTCGTAAGAAATGTGCAAAAAACTATCAACCGTGAAAATTTGGTGAGTTGTCCCTACCGTTAGTGGTGATATTGCCGTAGCGGATGAGTGGCTGTTTTCCCTCCCATCCTCCCTCCTTCACTGCGTCGCTCAGCAGTCGCTGCAACTCTGCGGCCGGGGTGGGCTCCAATTGGGGGTCCGAGAACCTCACGTGAACGTTCTTGAGAGTGTAAGGATGGCCCTGCAGGTCTTTGGTCTGAACTAAACAAAGCAAAAGGAGAGCAAAAATCGACAAAGACATGCACATGCATTATCCATGCAGGGTTGCCAACAAACCAATCAATATGCACAAAGGATGATAATAATCCTTATCCCACTACCAACACATACACACCATCCAGTTTGGACTCCTTTATGATGAGCCTATATTATGCTATTAGAGCTGAAGTAGATTGATACACATCTTTGACCTCATATATATACTTAGCATTGACACTGGTATATCATCAATAGAGTCAAAGACACTGAGAGAAAGTGATCTCTGTGCAGGTGTATGTGTGTGTGTGTGTGTGTGTTGGGCATAGTGTGTGTGAGTACCAGGAGATCCCAGTTGGGAAAACGGCTCCAACAGTTCACAAAAGGTCAGCCGGTTCTTCCTGCAGAGGGACTCGGCATCAGGTGTGGACCTAACAGCCACCTGGAGGCTGTACGATCCCTTGATGATGCTCTCCATAGTGCTCAGGGACTGAGCCATGGTCCTGGGAGGTCGGGGGGCGGGGCCTCTCGAGCTTCACAACAAAACGCATGCGAGAAGCTACACACACCCCAGAATCGGCCACCCCCAAACGTTCTAGGGGGCCGGGGAGTCGCTCGGGCCCTGCGTGTTGGGTACGAGGCTGTAGTAGAGATGGTAGTGGGCTGGAGGAGTACCTCTGAAGCAGCTGATGGTCGCCCTGAGGCTGCAAAACGTCTTTATCCCTCTCCTCTCCGAGCTATAGGTCGCGCACGCCTAGCCTTCGCTCGACCAGTTAACACGTGACATGTCATGTGATCCCCAGAGGTTGCGTTTTGTGGGCGGGGTCTTGGGAGTTCCATTCTAATTCCGCCACCGAGAACGGAACGTGACCGAGTACGGCGCGTGCAAAAATAGATCACGTGACTAATCACGTGGTGCAAAAGTTTTCTTCATCCAAGAAAGAAGAGGGCGACTCGACCTTTTTCTCTGTCCTCCAAAGCATAAAGGGAGTCAGCGTGTCAGGCTCTCTGCGTCCTACCACCCCGCGACACGACGTGTCTTCGAAACAACCAGCACGTGACTCTGCCCCTCTTGTCGTGTGAGGCTGGAAGCTGCCATGAGCACAACGGAAAAGAAGGCGCAGGTGCTTCAGTTGGAGCCGCCCCAGGAGCTGGTATTCAAAGGTGGGGCTGGGTCAGGGAGCTGGCCGAGACATAGCCGCATGTGTGTCGTTAAGGCTTCACTGTTGCAAAAGGCATAAAAAACCGGGGCGAGAAAAACTGGTGTCAATCTGTAGCACGCGTGATTTTTCTCAGCTGTGAAGCATGACTAGCTGATTACTATGTCACTATATGGACTCTATATATCCTACTGTTTATGCATATTATATTTGCGCCAAAAACTCACTGCTCACTGGCCCTCTTCGAAAGTAATGGCTTTAGTTGAGACACAGCTAGTGGCTAATGCTAGTATTGACGCTGGTAGGAGCGGGGGTGTCTGAGTGGGCAGTCTCCAATGCTCAATTGCTATTCCTCAGAGTAGAGGGTTCCTTGCTGTTTTCATTTAGCTGCAGGCACCGTTCTATGTATCTCGCTTTCAAAATGTGACGCGTACGTCGTGAGAAAAGGAAGTATGCGTCTACAATTCTATCGGTAAAGCGGCAGCATAGCGCTATACCGTTTTGCATTGTTCTCCCCCCACACTATAAAGAAGGTATTTAGTGGTATATGGTGTTAGAAGCGAAGGATACTCACATAGTTCGTGAAATAATAAGATATTGCCGTGGGTAGTATAAATACACCCCCTTAGGCTAGGTGCACAATGTGTCGCCCAGAAGTACGTACCAACGTTATGTATACATGTGCATGTACTAAACACGTCTTTCTCTTTCTATCTGTTAGCCGTTGCCTAGAAACAAAAACCCTTTTGGAACTAATATTGATTCGGTCCACGAGATGGGTGTGGCAGAGGGAGGTAGATGTAGCACAGCAATCAAAACAATACTTAACAGAAAAATACCTAACAGAAAGTGTGCTGTGTGTGACTATAATGCATACTCTCTACAGGGCCGTTCAATGACGTCATCACAGCCAACTTGGTCCTGCGAAACCCCAGTGAGAAGACGGTGCTGTTCAAGGTGAAGACGACGGCTCCCAAGCAGTACTGCGTGCGGCCCAACAGCGGAGTTCTGGAGCCGAGCAAACATCAGAACATTGCTGGTAACACATTCAGAGGGGGTTAAAACTACTACTGAGAGGAATGGGCCATCTTTATGAGCTTGTACCAACTATTTCAGGGGTGATATTTATTCCTCCCACTTTATATACCAAAATCGCCTCTAATGCCCCCACCCCCATCACTTGTAGTTTCAATTCTTTCACTTGATGCATGCACATGAGAGTCATTTCAATCAAGTGTAAGGTCATGGGTTCAGTATATACCATAGTGTTTATTATCTCTGTTGGGAGCTTTGATAATGAGCCTGAGTATATGTGCTCTATACATACATATATACTCTGTTTATGGTGCTGTTTGCAGTGATGCTGCAGCCTTCAGCCGACCTTTCGTCAGTGGACAAGTCGAAGCACAAATTCATGGTCCAGTCCATGTATGCCCCGCCCAATTTCGTCAACGACAACCTTGACCAAGTGGTAGGCAATGCAGCGACTGCACATCGTACCCCTGCACTTACTTAACCCCTTATTATCTGCATGTAGTTTAGTACACCTCACAATGCACATCTCAATGCGATTCTAGTGTCTCGCACCTCCAAAGTGCTGTGCTGTGGTTGTACGCGACAGATTCTTAAGTATAAACTGTCGTGTTTTGTACACACATTACGATGCTTCAATACATAATGTGTTCACCACCCAGTGGAGGAACGTACAGAAATCAGAGCTGATGGACTCGAAGCTCAAGTGCTCTTTCGTTGAGGACGGGAGCCAGCAGCCTGCGGAAAATTCACAGTCGGAGCCGCCTCCCCCTTACTCACAGGTGAGTGTCCCCTATCTGCCTTTCCTTCTCCTCTAAACTTACCTCTTCCCTCCCTCCTTCCTCCCTCCCTCTTCTCTCCCTCCCTCCTTCCTTCCTCCCTCTTCTCTCCCTCCTTCCTCCCTCCCTCTTCTCTATCTCCTTCCTTCCTCCCTCTTCTCTATCTCCTTACTTCTGCAAACACATGACACGCACAAGCTAAAAACTTCTGCAGATAACATAACATAAAAGCAACTTTTCCTGCAAATATGTATGTTTCGCGAATGCGATCAAAAAATGGCGTAAAAATACTTTTGGGATTAGCATTAAAAACACAGCATGCATAATACACAGAGAGCCTGTATGTGTGTATACTATGGTGTAAGTGAGAGGTGATGTATTCCTACTGCAGACAGCTCAGGATGGTAGTGGGGTTGAAGAGTTTGGTCAGGCGGAGGCCGGCAAAGAAGATCTCCTCATGACCAGTGCCACTGGAGAGACCATTCTCCAGGTACCTTCTCCGCCACAGCAGATGACCACCGGCAAGAAGGAAGAGGTGTGTGTGTGTGGGTGCACGTGTGTGTATGTGTGTAGAGGAAGAAGGGAGAGTCCTGAGGATTGACATTACGGTGTATATACGTGTGTTTTGGGATGTGTGCTTGTGGATGTATACAGTGTGTGACTGACTTCCCTCTAAGAGTGTTTGTGTACACCAAATATATAAATTTCTCTTTCAAAATGACTTGAAAATTGCGGGCTGCACTTTAGTGGCTAAAGTTTACATTTGGACAATTACTGTACACCAGATGGCCAAATTGAGTTGATATGGTGCTCTCATTGACCTGTGTACACTCCAGGACCCAGTGATGTTGAGCATGAAGACACCTGCAGCAGTTATGGTGCAGTCGACCGCAGGCTCCACACCAGCACATGTATCAAAGGTGGGTATAAGGGGCAAAGGCGGTGTAATATTGCCACTTTTTACTAACACTTAACTAGGAATACTGCACCATTACTTTGCTTTAACACTTAACTAGCCACAGACACCTAAATGTGTCCAGAGCCTTCATAAGTCCATAAGAACTTATAATACTAGGCACATCAACTTCTGCTTATAAGCAGATACCCATGGCCTCCAAAGGGTTAAGTCAACGCAGTGTGGGTTGTGGGGGGACCGGATTTCTTTCGAAGATTTGACCAATACATTCACAATTTGGCATGATTAGCTACCGCCTAGAAAAGCCCTTGGATTTACGCGGATAAGGTTATTGCATTTTCAAGTCCAGTTTTTTACCCCAAAGTCTGAGTTACGTATAACATACGTACCCTCACTTTGCTTGCATGTTGCATGAAAAATCTCGAGGGAGGGAAACGTTCAACTGGAAGTGCTCTATTACAAGTGGATCCCATTTGTTCGTAGAAATCTTGAAGATCTCTCCCTCCCCAATTTCACACTATTTGTCATGGTCGCTGGTCAATACGTAGCTGACAGGCTTTATGTGACTCGTATGCATGTTTTTCTTGCAGTCGGAGAGAGAAGAAGCAGAAGCAGAAGCGGTAAGTTCGTAGAAGTATTATAATACCGGATGTGGTCATTCGTGCCTTTTATGCAGAAGTTGAGGGCTATGCAAGATAGAATAGACCTATTAACAAGTGAAAACAGTCAGCTAAAGGTGAAATGACTATTATCAACTTCTCTCTCTTCACCACTCTGTGTTTCATATTGCTCTCGGTCACAGGGTGAATCAAGCCAACTTCGGGAGCGTATAAGGCAAAAACCAGGAACAACGACAGCCACGGCAAAATTCCCACCTGCCGGCCCCTCTCCCCCTCCCTCCTCACCTCTCAACATTATTGCCGTCTTGCTCATTCTGGTGGCCCTCGTTCTGGGCTACTTAGTGGGTCGCTTGCTGTAGAGAGAGGCTAGGAGAGAAGAGGGAGGGAGAGGGGGAGAACAGCTGGGGGGTGCATTTAGGAGGAGATAGAAACGATTAGGTTGAGAGGGTGAATCTCAAAGTTGTGGATGTTGTTGTACATTATCTCTTGGCTGTTTTTCATTCTTCTCCTTTCTTTTTGTATGTATGAGGTAATTTGTATATTATACCACGCACATTGGTTGATGCTGGACATGCCGCCGGAAGTTAAGTGTGTCGGCGCAATAGCGTTTTGAGAAATGTGCGCATGCGTGAACACGCTTTGGATCTGCTGGAGGGATATGCGTCGGCCGCCAGTGGCGTGTTTTCGACTACTCGTGTCGCTAGTCGCGGTCACGGCCCTGACTGCCCTCGTCTTACAGTCACGCTGCGGGGATTTCGCGGACCGGGGGCACGTCAGAGTACGAGAGAGTGGAGTTGCAGTTACTTTTCCGACCACTCGCAGTCTTCATGAACGACGTCGGATCAATAACCGGAACTTACCATCAACTAATGCTTACTATAGTACTACAACTGCTCCTACAACGTACAGTAGAAAACATTCCCTAACACCACCAAGTACAGGGTTGGTGCAGGAAGTGGTAAATGACAAGTCCCAAGTTAATGTTATGTCCAACCTGGACAAATGCCTCTCTGCTGCAAATCTAACCGAGTACTTCATTCGCAAAAACTTGCTTTACAAAGCACAGCGTAATGCAGAGTACTTTATAAGCACTCTCCGTCAGTTTGTACCAACTTCATTCAGTAGTAGATACAGCAGCCCCTGTTGGAAGAACAATTTCAATTTGTCGTATTGCAACAGTTCCTCGCACCCACCTTGCCCCATCCCTGCAATCAAAGGGCATCTAGGATCACACAAGTACCTGATTTTGAGGTATCACTTGGAGTCTGACATTGAATCTGCCCTCGCTACCAAGTACCCACGAGGTCTGTCTTCCCCGCTGGTGTGTCTACCGAAAGTATTTCTCGCCGGTTTCCCCAAATGTGGGTCCTCGTATCTCTACTGCTTGCTGGAGGGACTCGTTGCCGGCTCTGGAGGTAGTCTGACAAAGGAGCCACATTTCTGGGCCCCACGAGGTCCGTTTAGTCTCAACCACCAGTCCCCACATCGTCCCGACAGCCTTGTCTCCTACATTCTCAATTTTCTACCAACCATCGAAGCCGAAGAAAAGTCAGAGTTTTCGCTTCCAATCGATGCAAGTCCAAACCTTATGTTTCAGTGGAGGTTGTACAGACATTATGAGGGAGTGGTGAACTACTGCCTGACCCCTTCCGTTCTTCCCGAGATTCTTCCCAACAGCAAGTTCATTGTGCTCATGAGAAATCCAGTGGACATGCTCTACTCTGCCTTCTGGTACTCGTGTTCTGACCTCAACGTAGACCTCAGCGATGCGCGAAAGCTGAGAATGCCTCACGAGTTCCACGAAAAAGTCCAGTTGAAGATGGAGATCTTTGAAAATTGTACACGGTTTGTACCCGTGGACAAATGCATGGAGAACATTTTTAGAAAACTCGATGAGTCGCTTAACTATTGCGGGAGGATCCGTCTGGAGATTGGATTTTACTTCCTCCACATTAGAAAGTGGCTAGCAGTTGTCCCACGAGAGCAGTTCCTCTTCCTTCGCACGGAAGACTTTGACAGAGACGGGGCGAAGCTTACAAAAACTATTTCTGACTTCCTGGGCATAAATAAGGAGACAGTGGGAGCAAGGCAAGGTTCCCAACACGAGGGGGGGCTATGCAATAATGTTCAGACGCGGTACAACTACCATCGCAACCCGCACCTGCAAATGAGGAGTGACACAAGGAAACTCCTGTCTGATTTGTACCGGCCCTATAACAGGGCACTTGCGTCTCTGCTCGGGGATGACAGATACTTGTGGATGGATTGAGGGAGCCCATAGTGCCACCCTGTGAGGCCTGACGGTAACTGGTTGGAGATGAAAACAACCTCACAACTGAAAATATCAAGAGTTGCAATGCCTTGTATACCTGCTTGTGTCTGTGCTGTAAGGCTATATACAACATGTACCGTTGTGTATACAGTAAAGTAGGTAACCACAATGCGCATGCGTTACAAATAAGGTGCATGTGTAAAAGTAAGTGTCACTGGGAGCTAGCTAGCTAGCTTCGGATCGGATATTCTGTTCGAGGCTGAACGTCGTACTCGTGTAACGAACTCCCTGACGTAAGTTAAGTACTGATGCGGGACTTACAAGAAATATATACAAAGGACGGGAGAGGCTGAGCCTGCAGCTAGCGCCACTAACCCGGGCACTGCGAAAACCTTAGTGTCGACTTTGCTAGTCTACTTTGCTAGTCTACTTTGCTAGTCTACTTTTAGCGGACTGCAAGCGAAGCGTTGTTCGGGCATATAATGTTCGTAGCTGTGTATTCTTGGCTATCAGCTGTATAAGATTATTTAGCTCAGTCTTGCGTGGTGGTGAGAAAAGAATGCGTGGACAGACGCTCAATCTGGCAACTGCTGATGTACTCTAATTTGCAGGTTGGCCAGCGATGCTGACACGGAGGGTCTTCTTTCTGGTTTTGACCATCACTGCAGTAAGCCTGATCCCTGTCATTGTGAACCTGAGTGAGCAGGAGAGCCTTGTGTTGGGGGAGAGCAGTCACTGGCTGGTGGGACACGACAGATCACTTCTTGTTGTAGTCTATCCCAAAGACACTGTCAGAGAAGACCTCAGTGAGAGAGTATGGTCTAAACACGGTGCGGAAGATAAAACTGTGGAGAACGTCTCAGAAGAGCGAGGAACCGTCTCAAAAGAGCGAGGAACCGCCTCAAAAGTGCAAGGAACCGCCTCAAAAGAGCAAGGACCCATCTCAAAAGAGCAAGGACCCGTCTCAAAAGTGCAAGGAACCGTCACACCAGAAAAAACTGCTCTAAGCTCACTGCAAGAGAGAATACACGGTTTAGCTGAAAACAGAATTATGAAGCAAGACTACTCTATTAGACCCAGCGATTCAAATACGGAAGAAACTCCTGACAATAACGCAGAGCAGCAAGTAGAAATAGCTGCGCGTAGCACGGTGCTAGAAAGAAAACACAAACACGATTCGTTGGTCGATGATGTTCTGAAGCTAAACAGATCTCCTGTTGACTCACATACTGTGGATAAACGTCTTGAAATATCTCACGAGCAAAGGGCACACGATTTACAGGCCAGTATTACTCCAAACCACAAAGACCCAAAGATATTGCCTGTTGAATCAACAACAGGAAAACCATCAGGAGAGGATCTTAGTACTGAGAAAGCTGTTCCTGACCCATTACACCCAAAACGAGCACATGGTGTGTTGGAGAGTGAGAATCTGCATCAGGAAGGTTTGAAGAAGCATCCAGTTGACCCAACAAATGAAAAACTCCGTGAGTCTGAAGTGCAAATGAGCCACAAATCTACTCACAAAGTAAGTAGTAGAGTAGCGACTCGAACATATGCCACACAAACCATTCCTACACATAAACCAAAGAGGGTGCAGGTTGCCCAAGAGCAAAGCACGAACAGCAGAGTTCCTGCTGAACCAAGGACACTTCAGCCTCAACCGCAAGTCATTAAAATCTCTAGCAACAGAGTAGACGACAAAGTGTTGGCTCCAAGTATTGCTACACCAGTAGTCCAAGGTCGCAATCACCCCGAATGGCAGCCATAAGCCAAAAGACTTACAAACATAATAAAACGTTGGACTTTAAGTTTCCGAAACCAGACATGCTCTACAGCAAAACACCCTGCACTTTGACAAACGTCAGTAATTTCCCGGTTGAGAGACCCAGGGACGACAATGCCCATGAACTTGAGCTGGTCGAGCAGAACCTCCAAAAGTGTTTGAAAGCTGCAGAGCTGACTGAGTACTTTGACGAGAAGAACTATATCGCCCGGGCGATGAAGAACGCGGCTCATTTTCTCCTGCTCATGCGGGGTGTTGTTACTGCCGACTACTCAGCAAACCACACCAACATGCCGTACTGGAAGTCGCAATTTCGCCTAAACCGTTGCATTGGTAGAAATGTTGAAGGTCATATAGGTCACCAGCCCTTTTCCTTTGCGGGTAACTTGCTCACGCCTCAACTACAGCACACTATCCACTTTGGCTATGCCGGGAGAGTCCACTCTCCTTCAATGTGTCTCCCCTCCATATTTGTGGCCGGATTCCCCAAGTGTGGGTCCTCGTTTGTCTACTGTCTCGTCCAGCGACTGTATCAGTACAAGAAGTGGAAGTTTATACTGCAACAGCCAGAGAAAGAGCCTCATTTCTGGGTACCTGGCGGTCCGGCCTACCACCATCTCAACCCTCACGACCTCGGCGATGTGTCCCGCTACATGTTAAACTTTCTTCCCCGTGCCATTGGAAATACTAGTTTCAGTGTTCCCATCGATGCTTCCCCAAACACTCTATTCCAGTGGCCTCGATATTCGCTCAATGACACTCTGGAAAACTACTGTCTCGTGCCGTCGGTCCTTCCCCTCATCTTACCCCGTGCAAAGTACATAGTGGTACTGCGTGATCCAGTCACAATGCTCTACTCTGCCTTCTGGTTCTCGACCTCTGCCCACTGCAAATCCCTCAATCGTACGGAGCAAGTGCGAGCACCGGATGACTTCCACTTCAGAGTGCTCCAAAAGATCAGATCATACGAGTTTTGCACCCGTTTCAAGCCAGTGGATGCGTGTTTCGAGGTACTCTACCCTCCGATTACGGGACCAGTTAAATACGGGTCGTCTCAGTGTGGAAGAGTGAGGCTGGAAGTTGGTTTTTACTACTACTACATTCGGCGGTGGCTGGCAGTCATTCCGAGAGAACAGTTCCACTTTATGACGACAGAGGAGCTGAAGAAGGATTACCATGTTGCAGCCCAAAATCTCAGTGACTTTTTGGACCTTGGTCTAGACATAATCAAACGTCCGTTTGTGAAAGTGAACGACAAACATTGCAAGAATGTTCAATCGACTTTTGATTATCGGACTGATACTGAACTCCAGATGAGAAACGACACCAAGAGACTCCTCTACAAGTTCTTTGACCCAATGAACCAAAAACTGGCCAAGCTACTTAATGACTCGAAATTTCTTTGGAAACTCCAAGAATAGTGTTTTCATTTTTCAATCGTTCTCAGTTGCATGTGCACAAAAAAGCATAGTGAACTTTCTAGCACTAAATTGAGCTCACTGAGTTGCCTCATCTACTGCCACTATGGTAGCCATCATACAAAGTGGGTTGGTTTGTGTGGAGAGACTGATATGGAGAGGGAGGGTGTGTGTGTGGTGTGTTTAGAAGGAAGAGAGGTTGAGAACTGGTTGTTTCTCCGTGTATTCTCTCTTAGGATTTTCTATTGTATTATCACTTGCGTTTTTAGTATCATCTAACTATAGTGGCAGTTCCCTCCTCTCGATCTCTATATACTCCACACGTAAACGCATGCGCACAACATCAGCGGAAGTAATATTTTGTGTAATTACACGAAACGCGGCGGGAGATTGGAATGCGTGAAAATGGCCGACGTGCACTCCCACTAATTTTCAGTGAACACACAGCGACTCACCTGTTCAGTTCTCAGTAGTGTTGTCGTCTGGACGGCCCTCTCACATCGTGTTTTCGAAGCATTTATACCGGAGTGGGTACTACGTAGTGTTCTTGCCCGAGAGTTTCTCGGACAAGTCGACAGAGTCCCGGTGAAGTAGCGACCTCGAAAGACAGTTCGCGGTTGGAAGACGCCATGGCGAGACCGGCGCAGCCTACCTACGACCCAAACCTCGTAGAGGTCAAGTCGAAGGTGAGCGGCAGTATTGTTACACTACCTAAAAAACCAGCTGTGGACGACTCTAGACGTAGTCCGGCAGACGGCTGGTCGCTAAACTCACACACACGCCCACCTATAACAAGCAACGCCGTGCGCCTGATTTTGAGAGAAAACCGCCGTGTATGTATAGCATCCAGTGTTATGTACACTGTTAGCAGCCCAAAAGGATAAGTGCATCGAACTCTGTCCGGTCAGTGGGTTGTTTTCTTTGGGGACCTCTAGTGAAGCAAATCTAGGTACGCTTTGCAGCAGTGATCGAGTGAGTGTACATTTACATTACAGCGCCTCTACGGATGAATGACACTTTGTGTATGTTGTGAATGCACTCTCTAATTTACATGGACACACTGAGTGCTTACGGCGTCTGTAATGTGTGTAGTAGCAATGTGTCCTGTAGTGTCACTCCTCCCCCCCGGTCTGTCCCCTCGCGCACTCTCTCCAGTACACTTGTGTTGGTCGCTCTGCTCTCGATCAGCACACGGAATTACAGCGACTGGAACGCTCTGTCTACTGTCGCTGTCTGCAGTCTGTTGTGTTAGTCAGTATCTCTTTCAACCCTCTCAATAGCTGCTCCGCGCTAAACCCAGCACCTGCACAGGCTCTACGGGTGCTCTAGCACACACACACACCACTCTCGACTGCGTCACGTCACGCATGGTATACGTATTTCTTGTGATGTTTCGTCTCTCATTTCCTCACTGGGCACGCCCACGTGCCTGCCATCCTACACACACACACTCACTCTATATGTCAAAACTCATTACGGACACTCACGAACAACATGCGAACGTGTGGTAACTCAGTGCAGGTGCTGTACGTGTGCATAGGCAGTTGAGTCATGAAGAATCATACACTGACTGTGTTTTCTGTCACAGCTCTTCTATGTCAAAAGTACAAGCAGTTTTGTAAACCTTGACTGTACAACATGACCGTGCTTCACTGACACTGGTAGATCACTACGCTATATGGGATGTATAGTAAGTTTGTTGTTATTGCGTGTTTTGCGTATAATATGCATAGAGCTGTATAGTACCGTGTGTGTTGAAGGTGTTGATAACTGATGTGGATGAGAAAAACACAACGGGATCATGCTATTCATGAGGCAGAGAACTCATGGCGCAGCGCGCTTCAGCTGCTTGAACAACTTGTGTTTTGTATATAGAGCTCAGGCAATCCGTCGCTACACTACACACGACTGCTCCATGCTGTACGACATACGTACGTACACCTTGTTTGTTCTTCTGGGTTCATAAGAAATCTTTGGCAAAATCTGATTTGCAAACAGTCTCCAATACAGAACCATCATAACAGTAGACACAAACCTCAGTTTGTGTAAACTTGTTTCGTTGCAAACGCAAACTGTTCACTGGCCGGGCCCTTACCACTACACCTGATTTAGTAGCTACATGTACATAATATGTGTCTTGTGTAGC